TGGAGGCGCGCTCACACCCGCAGAATATATGTATTGTAGGCCGAGAATGGTAGATCCACGGACTTTGTCTGTAAACTGCTGCCCAAATTGCTGGGAGAGGACAATTTTGATCGTCCAATTGAAGTGGATCGGGCACACCGGAGCCTAACGCATGCCAAAGACGGGAAGGCGAGAGCCATCATTGTCAGGATGCATTATTTTCAAGAGAGAGAGCGTATGCTGCGGTTGGCGAGGGAGAAAAGTCCTCTGCAATACAACGGTCGCTCGGTGTTCATCTTTCCCGATCTCACCTCAGCTGTAATGAAGAAACGTCAGGCGTTCCAAGCTATCAGGGAGCAATGCAGGTCCAAGAAGATTCGCTATGGATTTCGATACCCTGCGCAGTTCATGATTACCGTGAATAACAACACCACTACGTTCGACACTCCGGTGGAAGCCTACAAATTCCTGAGTACTGGCAGTCTGGGACTAAATGAAGCAGGTGGGCAAACTGTTCATTTGTTGCTACATTTGAGATTTTGAGAAAGCAAGAAAAATTTTGTCATCGGGTGAGAATTGGAATTTGTTTGTTTTAATAAGCTAGTTGTGAGGGGTTGAGTGGCTGTTCTCGTTGGAAAGGTGGAGAAGCTTGTTACTTGTCCTCCACTGGATAGACAGGTAGTTCCAGCTTTAAGGTGGAGGTGTGGAGATACCGCTCTTGGTTCTGTTCAGTTATGTTGGGTGGTTGGGAGGGTTAGTTATGTTTTTGGGAATACTGTTTCTTACACATCAGTGTGTTCTGAATACCTTAAAATTATCCTCACAGTCATGCAACAGTTGATTACTAAAATGTACACGAATTAATGTTAACTGATCCAGATAAACATTGTAGGGATGGGGTTAATTTGATTAGCTGGAATGTTCGAGAAATAAACAGCCCTCTAAAAAGAGGTAAAGTTTATGCACATCTGCGTTCACTGAAGGCTGATATTTGTTTTCTCCAGGAGACCCATATTGAGAAAACAGCTGCACAAGCTCTTAGTCCCTCATGGGCTTCCAATGTATACTAGTCAAATTTCAGCAAAAAAACAACTAGAGGGGTTGCAATCCTGATTAAAAAACATACACCTTTCATTCACAAGCAGACAATTTCAGATCAAAGGGGAAGATATGTGATTGTTAGTGGGCTGCTGAATTCTATACCAGTGACACTAATAAATATATACGGGCCTAATTTTGATGATCCCATCATTTTTTAAGACCTATTTAATGTAGTGCCGGATTGGGTTGGCTCTAATATAATCCTTGGTGGGGATTTAAACCTAATCCTGGACCCAGTTTTAGATAGACAACGCCCTCAGTCTAAATCATTAAATAGCGGGGAATCCCTTAAAAGTCTATTACAATCCCACAATATGGTTGACATTTGGAGACTACTAAATCCTACTGGGAGAGATTATTCATACTTTTCAGCAGTACATAATTCCTACTCTAGGATTGATTACTTCTTGTTGGACTCTAGGTTGCTAGCAGCAGTATCAAGCTGCAAATATGACAATATTCACATATCAGATCACGCTCCTGTGTCACTGAACCTTAAATTAGATTTTAAAAAGGCGAGGTGGAACAGGCGTTTAAATAACACTCTGTTGAAAGATAAGATATTTTACTCTTTTATTTCATACAAAATTAAGTCATACCTGAGTGCTAATGACAGGGGGGATGTAGATGACTCGATGCTCTGGGAAGCAATGAAGGCGGTTATTAGGGAATGTATAATTTTGTTCGAGGCAGCAAAAAGTAAGGAGTCCAAGATTAGGTTGGATAAAATAGAAGGCCTGTTGACCAGCTTAGGAAACTCATACAAATTAAAGCAGTGTCCAGATATATTGAATAAATTAACAGCTCTACGTTATGCATATAACTCTATTATGTCAAGAAATGTTTCTAAATTACTGGGACAAGTCAAACAAAAATGCTTTGAGTTAGGTGATAAACCTCATAAGCTTTTAGCCCATCAGCTCAAACAATCACAGGCCTCTAGAGCCATACATCGTATTAAGCTTGAAGATGGAACTTTACTCACAGAACCGGATAAAATCAATAACTGCTTTGCGGACTTCTATGCTAGTGTTTATCAGTCACAGGAAAAATTAGATATTGAAAATCTGGAAAGATTTTTTGAAAACTTGAATTTGCCAAAACTCCCATCAGATTCAGCTGAAGCTCTGGAAGCTGATACAACTTTACAGGAAATTGAATCTGTTATCTCTTCACTTCCCAATAACAAAGCACCGGGTCCTGACGGCTTCAGTGCTGACTTCTTCAAGTATTTAGTTCTAAATTATCACCTCTACTTTTGCGTATGTTAAACCATTCTAAGCAAGTTTCAAGACTGCCCCCCACTTTATACAGAGCCAATATTTAGCTAATTCCTAAACCTAGCCGAGATCCAGAGGTTGTTTCATCCTACCGCCCAATTTCGTTGTTACCTCTAGAAACCAAAATTCTTGAGAAAATTCTAGCCAATAGACTCAAAAAACACATTGGTTTAATCGTCCATCCGGATCAGACTGGCTTTATGCCAGGTAGGCATATGTTTTTTAACCTGCGGCGTCTTTTCAATATTTTATATTCAAATCATTCAAATGAGTCCATTGTCATTTCGCTAGACGCACAACGTGCATTTGACCATGTAGAATGGCCCTATATGATGTATGCGCTCAAAAAATTTGGTTTTGGACCCATGTTTACAGAATGGATTGAAATAATTTATTCACACCCAACTGTTTCCGTCATTACAAATCAGAATATCTCCTGTCCCTTTGCTATTCATCGCGGTACACGTCAAGGCTGCCCCCTCTCCCTATTTCTCTTCTCAGTCATTATCGAACCCCTGGCCGCCGGCATTAGGCAAGACCCCTCAATATCCCCTATTGACATGTTTAATTGTAAGCATCATATTTCGCTGTATGCTGATGTCACCCTTTTTAACTGAGTAGTCAAAATAAATAAAATTTCAAAAGTACCAAGTGTTATTTTCAAAAATAAAAAAACAATGTCTCCAATCTACTCACTTTGGGTTCAATTAGGTTCGTAAGGAGATTGGCAGAGGTAAATCACTAAGTGAAAGATTATTCCAACCAAAATAAGACACTGACAACCATTAGAATTGAATAACTGAAAACCTGTATTTCAAAATGCTGAACTAGAACATTGGCACAACACAGTTTGTTCACTTCCACATTCATTCAATTCAACAATACCATCCTCTATCAGAGTCCACAGGTGCACTAAAAAAAAATACTGTCCATTTCAGCTGAGTACACCGTCTTCCACTCTTTGGTAGGTATTTAATGCAAGTTTTAATATTCCTGATGCATCAGTTTGGTTTGTGGTATCAGAACACCCTCCAGAGAGACATGTGTCCTTCACAATTGATGCATCCTGCAGCTGTATCTCCGGTGGTTCCTAGTTCGGTCCGTGGATGGAACCCCTCAGGTTGTGGCAGCAGGTTCAG